TAGATCAAATTCTATGCATAATCAATGCTTTTATTTCTTTGATAATGAGGGTCTCGGTGGTCCGTTTGCATGAAGAGATTACATTATAACTTCAGAAAATACATTATAAAACTTCAGAAAGTTCTCCTTGTATATAAATAGTTGATTTGCATATATCTACCAGAGGTTCAAAAGCAATTATCAAACATAATTATCCAACCCACGTATTTATCAAGGGTAAAAAGGGGGGTAAACAGCAAATTGCACGATCTGATCCACATTACCTTGATATAAACAAATTGGCAAAGATCAACTGATAAGCCTATCATGCAGAGTAATTCGTTTTAAATTAGATTACAAAAAAATAAGGAAACATTATCTTCCCCTAAGCACTTCATTATCATTGTGAAATATCTCACAAATAACATCCTTGTCAACAACAAAAAACCCAGAGAATATCCGTCCTTCACATTCAATTCCTACCCAATACAGATTCTCTCACTCTCAGCACTACACACTTGACAGCTGTCTGTAGACTAAAAATCAACCCTAAATAAATAGTACCTTCATTCAGTCATTTCTATATTGACTGAATCATCCCTATACTCATATTCATCTACTTTACTCAAACAAATGAAAATAAATTGGAAAAATCAGCCGCGCAGTCAGACGAAAATTTACATAATTCATTCAGACTCTCATCTTTGAGCGCAAAGCACAAATAACCTCCCCTCAGCAGGGGGATACTGCAAAACATCTCTTTTACACACTCACACCGGACTGCATATTCATCGTACAGAGCATTGATACACACAAAAACACTTCTCTGGATGAAACCCATCTGGGATAAACAAAGCCATTAGGAGCAAAATAGGCTATTCTTAGTCACTCCGTTTTCTTCAGGGATCCCGTATTATTTCCTTTTGAAGAATTAAAAGATTACGTGTCTATTATCTGGAGTGAGCGGGGCATTGACTTATATCATTTTACACAGAGTTTATGCCCTTCTGGCTCCTATATTTACCACTAATAATTGATATCATTCTATAAATCAATTTGTTTCTCTGATGGAGGAGATCAAACACCATTTTAGCTCGTTGGGGCTCTCTCAGGACATAACATCCACAACAAGGAGAGGGAGAGGGGGAAGGGGAGATGGAGAGAGAAAGAAAGAGATAGATGGAAGTAGAAAGACCTCTGGCAGGTTTGGATTGTGTAGAAAGAGAGAGTTATGGAGGCTGCCTTATTACGCCAATCACATGGCATGATACTGAATCACTTGATGGTGATGTGGGGGCAATGAATTCTTGTAAAGTCGAAAGCAGAGGTTGACTTGATGCTTGAGGGAATATATAAGAGAGAGAGGGGGAGGAAGAGAGAAAAGAATGGACAGAGACGAATACAAATAAACAGGAAGAGACAGGGTAAACTTGGGCAGGACAGAAAAAGACAAATGATGGTAAAAGAGAGTTGAGAGAAACAGTATAAAGAGAGAGAGAGAGAGAGAGAGACTCTTTCGCTTCTGTAATATCACATGTAGAAAACAGTTCTTCAGTCTGAGAAATATATCCTTTCCTTGGAGCCCAAGGGAATTAACTGTGTGTTGAAGTACTCCTAACCACTTTCCATTATAATAATGATAATAATAATAACAATAATAATATTTGAGATTTGTAAGGCGCCAAATCCACTTGAAATCAAGTGCACAAGGCGTATTTGTGAAACAAAAACAACACAATAGATCACATAAAAACATCTGCGTTATAGACAAAGAAACAGGAGTAAGATACAAAAATTAAAAAATGACAGAACAATGAGTTATATGCAGATTTAAACAGATACGTTTTGAGATTATTTGTAAACAGTTCAACTGATTTGTTACTAAGAATCTCTTAAGGGAAGACAATCCCCAGCGAAGGCCCTGCATGAGCAAAAGTTCTTTCCACCCACTTAGTATTCAGCTGAGGAAGAACAACAATTATATTGATGATTTCACTCATTCAGTCCTGAAAAAAGTGTGTTCTAGGAATAAATATTTTCAAATTTGTAATACATCTACATCTACCCCTGATGTTACATCATTGGGAAGGATCAAACGAAGTGAAGATGGGATCATTTTAAATTCACCCAAGCTAAAGCTTGAAAATCAGAAAACTGTTCATATCACAATTAATATGAAAAACCTCCACTTGGCAATCCAGGCAATGCATTGATGAGATGTGATGTCATACATGGACTTCTTCATCCATTTTGTACAAAGATTTAATCAAAAATATCTCCTTTGGACCCTTTCTCAATTTTCATAACTATAGAATAAATATTATGTCCATTGGAGCCTTTGAAGGGTATTTAAAAATATAGTATCAGGAAATATCATTTCAATGCACATATTTTTAGGTACTTTATAATATCTTCCTCCATTGTAAGCATGGACTTTTACTAAAAATATTTTTGAAAATTAATCAAATTGAATGACTAATATCGAGAGAAGGGAGCACTTCTTAGTCCATATTCCATAACCATTAACAGATGGAATTGCTTATGTTTGACTTAAATGAATAAATTGCCTATAGGAGACTTTCAATATTAATGGTGATTATAATGTTCACCCACTCATAACTTTCTCAATGTTTGTTCAATTTACCTCACCCTACTCTACTTCTCATCTCATCTCAGAAGAAATAAAAATGATTATCTCTTATTTCAACTCATGGGCTAACGTCCTTGCCCACGGAATTGCAAAAACAATGAGAGCCAAATTTTTGAAATATTCTACACCGTCAAGTCTTAAGTTCTTGACCCAATCACTATTTGCCCTATGTTTAATACACCATCTAAAACCAATTAAAAGAAAACCTCCAGTCATGTGTCAATTAGTAAATACAGTCACAGAAGTGTGCTTTAAAAAGTGAAGGAGCAGGCATGATAATACAAATTATAATTAAAGAAACATATTTCGGCAATTTCAAGTGCCATCCTTACTATTTAACAAATTCGTTAGCGAGACCGGTTGAGAGTGAAAATCCCAAGAGTATGAAATAAGTTAGTATGAAAAATGGTCGTCTGAATAGCATTCCAGATTTGGCAAGAAAATAATGGATACAAAGGGTAAATTTAATAGCATTTCAGGAATCTGAATTTTTAAATTACTTGACTTTGTTTAGTACGTTACTCTTCATATTTTACAAAAAATACATGGATAAATAGTAGAGTAAGCCTTGTCAGGAAAGGATTAGTGCCATTTCTAGAAACAAAAGAGAACACAGGCAAGTTTTGGCAGAGACAAATTTATTCAAGCCTCTTCTGCATACTGACTTTCTAACCAACCCATCCAAAGAGGTGGCGTCAGCTTTTTTGCATCACTTAGATTGAAAGCAAGGTTAACAGAAGGTGCCTGTTGTCATGGAGACGTAAAAGCCCGTAATTAAACCCTAATGATGACAACATGAAATAATTCATGAGAGTAAAGTAGGATTTCAAAGAAAATGTAATGTGTTTTCATTTTTCACCCTCTCTGCAGAAGGTCTGTGGAAGGTCAGGCAGGCCTTTCATAGCACACTCAATGAATGTGATCTAATATGTTCCATTTGACACAAGAGTGCTTGGAGCTATTGAACGCAGTGTTATGGATACCCTGTTTACCTTAGAGACTCAGAATTGGGAGAAAAGTTATGAGATTTGTGAATTCAATCTTCCTTCTCCATTTACAAACGTACAATCCCTGTTTCTCTCTCCGTCTCTCCCTCTCTCTCTCTCTCTCTCTCTCTCTCTCTTTTCTTTTCTTTTCTCTCTCTCTCTTCTTTTCTCTCTCTCCCTTTCTCTCTCTCTCTCTCCCTCCCTCTCCCTCTCTCTTTCTCTCTCTCCTTTCTCAAGAAGTGAATTCTACATAGAACTTGCCCGACCCATTGGAAACATTCACCATATTTACGATCAAAACAAAATTCTTCAAATACAAGCAACGTGACTCAGGCCTTAAAGGCAAGGTGGTATTATTTACAAAAGTCATGAAAATGTACCATGTCAAAAATAGTCAACTAAAATGAAAATCAGTCACATCCCCCCCCCCCCCCAAATGATTTCAGGATTTGTTGTTTAGAGGACAATCTTTTATTGCCAAGATTTAAGCAAACAAATTATGAACTGATGGAGAAACTTGAAACCTGAAACTTTCAAAGACTTTGCAAGGAAACAATGAAATTTGATACAAGCCCAACTGAATGCTTAACCCTACCTTTAAGAACACTAAATGCTGTTGTGAGTGTGATTTTGTTGGCTTGGGAGAAAACACTGCTATTTTTTTCATCACAGAAGTATAGTTTACAATCATTCTGTTGTTGTGGAAATCATGACTGCCTGCCTCATGTTTTCAAAAACCGAAAAGTAAAATACAAACCACTATTTCATTCCCACTACCAAAAGCAATCAGTGGATTATTTGTTGCAGATTTACACTAAGAGCTAATTCACAAAGTCATTTCAAGGACTCAAAATGTATCTATTTACATTGTAGTTTAATAATTGTGTTGTATTTGGAGTACGTTTCAAAGTTTTCATATTTGTTAATCTGTTCTGTAAAGTGCTTTGATCAGTTTTAAGCGCTAAAGAAGAAAAATATTATCAATATTATTAACAAATACAAATTTTTATTTAACTGAGTTATTGCCTAAAAAATGTCAAATAACATTCATGTATTGGAGTGCAAGTGGCATGGCACATAAAACACAATGCTGATTTGTCTCTAGTGTGCATGTAAATGCAGCTGCAATTGGTTTGTGATGGCCATGCCATTTTTACCACTGACTGGCCTGAATAAAATGACCTTCCCTTGACAGCAAGCCTACAAAACACATCCAACTCCAAATGAAATCTGACTGCAATAATAACCTGAAACACAGGGCAGATGGTTTTTGCAAAGAAAGATCATTAAAGTGGGACTGTCCATATTTGCAACCATCAAAATCTGTGCAGGTTCTTCAAGAAACAGGTACATGTAAGCTTACAGTTACATGTGCCTGTCTGTAGCAGGCTGACTTGTACTACTATGATCAGAATGCAAGGAGCCTAAAACACATATTAAGCCCCTTCCAGAATTAGAAAGGAAAGTGGTCACAGGCTCTCAAACAATAACAACAAATTATGCATACCAAGTACGGAAGGAATCAACCAAGAAACCACAATTTTTGATTCCTTGCTTGCTTGGTAGGTTAGATATCTCTTTTGTTTGAATCGTTTCAGGAAAAGAAGAGCTTTGAAACTGGCTTACCTTTCTGGCAGTGTTCATTGGTCCAACAGAGCTCAGCGACATCCCCAGAAGATGTGAGCTTCCGGCAGAGACGCTTGCCATCATCCTCTGGACAGAAGTTAAAGCACTCCTCTTGGTCCTTGTTCCCTTTGATGAAGTTGTTCTCCATCCCTTGGAACTGGACCAAAGACCAGTCGACCGTCGAGAGGTAGCAGAGATTGATGTTCTTCTCTATCCTCACCGAGCCTCTCATCACAGCCTGGAGACTCGGGAGACCAATCTCCTGCAGCTCGAACATCTCGAAGATGATGAGGGCATAGTTGAAGAAGAGGCTGTCTCCTCGGATCACGGCGAGGTTGGGGAAGATATGGCGCAGGGTCTGGAGGTTCTTGACCCGGAACATCACAAAGTATTCCGTGATCTCCCGTAGCTTGGGGAAGCTCAGGCCGGCATAGTCGCTGGGCGTTGCATGGTCTATGAGTACTATCTGGAGGTAGCCTTCAATCACGGTGCAGTTCTCAAGCTTGGCAAATTTCTCAGCGCTGTTCCTGATATCCATGGATTTGCAAACTGTAAAGAGGAAAATAAAAATCAACAATTCATTAATTTACCGCCAAGTATTTTGTGGATGGGAAAAAATCAACATGAACAAAAGCATAAGACACACATAGTAACATCTATTTTGATTCTTCATAGCTGCGTTTAGAAAGACAAGACATTTTAAAATTCTGAAATAAGAATGAATTCAATCCTGTTAACCCATTTTTCTGAGGGGACAGAGTCCTCCCTTAGACAGCAGAGATGGGAACAAAATAATTCAGTATTCAACAGGTGTACACATATTTATCTTCTGAAATTTTGTTATGACAAGTTAGTTTAACATTCTTCACTATTATCTTTGTTTAAACTTTAATAAAAATCAAGCAATATCTATAAGAAGTGACAAACAACCAAGCCCACAGTTAGTCTGGAATTACATCAAGTATAAATGACTAGACCAGCGGTCTACAGATGAAAATATAATACGACAAATAAACGATTCTGTCTCTGGTTGTGTTGTTCCAAAGAAATATCAGCCAAGAGAAAATAGGAGCACAACGAGAAGTAGTAGAGGAAGTTGTTGAGAGTGAATTAAGTGAAATTTAGGAAGTACTTGAAGATTGTTTTCTGCAGACACAAGCTCTCTGATTTCCTCTTAGACACACTCTAGTTTATGCATTTTAAAGAGCCATCTTCCAACCGTCCTCTTCCTTTCCTCTGGCAAACATTTCGTCCGATGACCAGGATAAACACATGAGTCTCTTTTACAAACAGTTTTTCCATTCCTTGCAAATTTCTATGCAGTTTTACACTCTCACCAACATAGCAAGTGATTATGATATTAAAGGTAAAGACCAGTATTTGGAACGCCCCAATTTGAAAAAAATGAAATGGAAGCTCTTTTTACCAATCATGTGAAAGAATATGTTTTGACCAATACATCATGATAAAAAATTTGCAGGGAAACCGCCTACTATTTGATATATTTGGTAAATTAGTTTATAGATTGGGATGTGATAGATAAACCGCAAGTGTCGCGTATATGTGCATAGTCCCATATACATATTTCTGTGTACAGAGCTTGTAACTTTACCAAGACTGGGCCAAATTTTTTATCATTTTGATGATTCGAGAACCTTGCAGTACACACCAATACTTATATGCTAGATGATCAACCTTTTTTGATCGATTCCACAACGTTTCTTTCACAATGCAATCGCATGACCAGAACGGATCTTTGTCTTGAACAAAGCGGCACAGCTGGGATAGAAGGAAGATGAGAACTATCTTTGTATTCACCCAGTGGGGAAATAGATTTGTTTGGATAAAACATGATTTTCTAATGGTTTACAACCCAAGTGATCTCCGCTCTAGATTTCATTCAGTAAATTTATCATTTCAATCTTCATAACTCTTAAATAAACAAAGATCTGTTAATTACTTAATTCTTGTTCTAAAACTGAAAATAGTAGTGTAGTTGTACACCTTATTAGATAACTTTTTTAGCACGAGGCTAATCAATTTGCCTCAAGAATATTATATCAGTTTTTTCATAATAAGCAATACATTGATTCATTCAAATCTCTTTTCTGATTCACTGCAAACCAGTCTGCATGTGCTTGGGTACAAAGTATCAGTGTTTTGCATTGTCTGGAGACCTCAAATATACATTGTAGCACACCTGTATAGATAGCTTTATCAAAAGACTGATAAACTACATACTAGTTAAAGATAAACATACAAACATATACCAAAGAGTATCTCTTTGCATATACAAAATAAACATACACCTAACCTAGAATAGTTTCAATCCAAACTGTTTTATATTTACAAGTTCCAGAATATCAACTGTGTCCCCAACAAAATAAGATAATTTCATCTAAAAACGGTATACACCTGTATTCGGTATCTCTATAAAGTGATATCACCGACTCATGAGAGAATGTTATTGTGAAATAAGCTGTGAAAAATGAGAAAAACAGGTTATCACTAAATAGCAGCAAACAGTTGGTGTCTATAGACATAACATACATGGACACTCCCCATGTCTGAGTCTACAATTTTTTCCCTACAATATAGGCCTACAAACATGTACCAGACGTTATGATTCAAGAAGTTAGTTCCACAAGATCTTTTTGTTTTTAAAGAAAAAGTAGTAGGGGACAATGTAAAATACATTTCATTCATTGTAGTTTCTTTTGGAATCAGTTAATGTGAATATGGGTGTACTTGAGATTTCCTCTGGCCTTCCTTTTTTGCTTCTTTCTTTCTTTCTTCTTATCCAGCTTCTTTAGAGTTTTACGGAACTTAACTCCTAATACTCCTCTGGTAATTTTACTCTCTTTCTCTCTCTGCGTCGGGGGGGGGGGGGTGGCTTGGGCTGGTACCAATTCAAGGGATGACGGATGACAAAAATGGGGGGAAATGTTAAAACACATGGACATCTATCTTCCTGTTAGTATTGGCTAACAAGTCGAGCACTATCAATATCCCAAGATTGCTTCTATTACATGGATCATTCAATAAAAAGCTCACAAAAGAGAGAATATTCCTAGGACACGAGTTCAATTCTCTCTAGATTCAAGAAATTATGGCACACAAATGCTGCTCAAATAAAAGCTATCCTGAGAGACGTTAGACACACACTTTCTCATGCTACAGCTAGGGTCACTGGCATCTACTTGAATTTGTTACAAGTGGCCTTGGTAAGACCTTTTTCATCTGTGGAACAGGGGGGCTGACTGCTGACCATAAATTTCTTGCAACACCAGTTGTTACTGGGTCCCTAGAACCTGGAAGCAAGAGGCCTGTTTCCATTAGCTTGAGATTGCCAAATAGCCTGCTATTCAAAGTTACAAATCGCGTCAACATCAGCTCATGACTTGACCTAGAAACTTGAAACACGTGTTTGAGATATTTTGCTTGGCGTTCGCGCATTGGGCGAGTCTTCGGGCTGGTGAGGACGCACCGGACAAATAGCGGGATGTTATGCCAAATAGCGGGATATTTTGCAAACTAGCCTAAGATATCTTGGGATGATTATCTCGACCAAATATCCCACTAATTGCAACTTCGGACTGATGAAGACGGAAATTAACTGGATAATTTGCGATCAGGATAGTTCAATTGACAGGATATTTGGCAATCTCGAGCTAATGAGGACAGGCCTAAGGTGAGGGAAAGCATCAGGAGTTCACAGAGTCAATTTGGGAAGTTTCTTCCCCTCATTACAGCACACTGGTTTGTATCACATTCAAGTAAAGTTCAGGAGCAATACATGTCTGTCGTAAGAGGCATGGCCCAGTTCCCACCGTCCACCTGCTAACTACATTCATTTGACCAATTTACAGAAGGAATACAGGAGTTACAACGGTCATGGCATTGGAGCCAGTTGAAAGCATACTGTGTGAAAGATATACAGCCTGCATTTGTTGCAGGCCCATCTCTTAATTCATCCCTTAGTTTTTCCCTTATCGCTTCATTCAAACTTGTTCAGTTTTCTTCAAGTAATTGAATACCTCAACCCTATAAAGGCTTTTATAAATGTAATGCTTCCTGGGAGAAATTTCAATTGTTTAAACCATGGACCTACTACAAATGGACACTGAACGGTACCATAATATATTCATGCACCTGACTCTGTCAAAAGTATCATAATGACATCCCGAACATACTTCCAAGCTTTGATCTCATCACGACCGCCGCCAGTCAGCCATAAAAAAGACAGAACTGTGACTTGAAGTATCTACAAAACCCCTGCGCAAAAGAAACTGAATCGCTTAAAATCAAGGAAATGCATGTGCAGTTGTGGCATAAATATGAATATTAACGTATATGAAGTTTTTAACAGAAAATTAGAAGTAGTTTACAAGTGAAACCTGTAAATTTGGCTATAACACAATGATTTTAAACTTCTTTTTAAAACTAATCCTATCAGTTTCCAAGGAATAGAAGGTAATAGGACAGTACAGAATATGTTTGTTTCAAAGTTTGGCAGGTCCAGATGTATGTCCACCAGTGTCCTCTTCTTTAATAATCAATCTAAAATCACACAAATTGTCATATTTTGGGGTTCACTGCTCCCCTAACTGGTCTTAAATTACGATACTTTTCCTGAAAACTACCCTCTGGGCCCTGGCCCAGCGAAAATAATCTGAAGAAATGTAAAAGGTCCCTTTGTCTGTGATGATGCGTGATTACATAATCAACATTGTCGCGTCAAATGAATGTCCTAATCAACATATACATTTTCAGGTGGCGGTGGTCATGATGTGATCAAAGTAAGACTCTCATTATTAGTCCATCTGTAGTAGGGTCCATGTTTAAACATATTCGTGGCTTAAACCTAGTAAATAAGATCGATTGATCGATCTGTAATCGAAAACATGTCAGAAAAAATGTAAAGGCTTGGTCAGATATGGTGCGGGGGAAACCACCACCAAAAAAAGCTGCCATTGTTCTTTTCCATGTGATGATAAATCTCTATCTATTTAAATAGTTTCCCAACTTTGATTCCTTAAAATACCTATATATAAGTGCCCTAAAGGTAACAATCACCTTCACAGCTGACATAGAATGGGTATGTCCTTGAATTGTAGCCAGTAAATAATGCTTAACACAGCTGCAATGCCAAGTAATAGATTCAATGTTACTCTGTTCAACCTTCACCTCACAAAGATGAACTTGATTTATGAAGTCATCTCACGATGGAGTAAAGGGGTCACTAAGTGAAATGAACCCAAACCTTTTTATTTCGTTCATTCTTTTTTTCTTTCTTTCTTTCCGACTCAAAAGAATAGACAGCATCTCTACTTGTTCTTACTGATTTACGAGTCTTTATAGAAGGGAACCCTGCAAAGTGTAACAACCATTTATTCCAACATCAGAATTCCAAGAATTATCATTCAAAATCTATACTTTTGTAGTTTTGTTCCAAGTAAAGATCTTAGACATTATGGCAGAATGTTGAATCACTTCATGACAGGGAATTCTTGTCTTCAAAAATATGATATTTGTTTAGCTTTTCCTTTGATTGTTTGCCTTTAAATGTTTCATAAAAGTTACCAACCACTGGTCCTAGCTTTAATATGACAGTGAATTAATGTCAGCCACTAAAATCATAGATTTCAGCAAAGAAATTGGTCAGGTTTGGTAATTTTCAGTATCAAGTTTTAGCAAACAACTAATCTTCAGAGACATATCGTTTATTTCCCTTGAGGAGCCTCATGTGAACCCATCTAATATTACACAGCTTATCTCCAACACCACTTAATTCTTTTCCTAAAAATCAATAACTATCATTAAGCTCCGAAGACAAAATCTGATGCTCTTCCACTTCTGGTAAGATGGAAGAAAACAGAAAGAAGGAAAACATCTCCATGTCAGCCTGCCTGACCTATCAGCAATGATGTTATTCTTGGTCTTAAAACCATGAGATAAACATGATTGAATTTCAATGTTCTTTCAAGAATTGCCTTTCTTTATTTCCGTCATCCTTGCTTGCTCTCTATCTCTCTGTTATTGGCGGTCGGTCTGGTCGGGAGGCACATGCTCCCAAGCCGATAGCTGTGTGGATTGGCAAGTGCTCTCCAGTTACCATGGTGAGGCTGTGATGCGTTCATGTGCTCCACAAAATCACATTTGCATCTCAAACTTTGGGAAGCCTCATGACCTGAATCTTTCATTGCATTAAAATTGTAAAGGTCTCTAATTTAAAAACATGTCAACC